TATGTATTAATATATACAGCTTGAGCTTCTAAGGTGTATCAAATATCAATATAAACTGTGACTATACCACTAAATGCATATACAATAATACATAAAAATAACATATATAGTGAATCTTAAACTAATATTGCCTTAATGGGTGCCACGGTGAAATCCTGTGTTGCACCCATATAAAGCTGTGTGTACTCTATGTTAATAGTGCAAAAGCACATGTGCACGTGCTAAAATTAAACAAATAAAATGCAGTCTTTAAGATAAATGTGCAAGTGAATATTCTGTTCCTTGTCTCCGAGTGCTAGATGGTCTCCTTATATGCTCACCTCTATATTTGCCTGAATGAATCCAGGCAAATACGCTTTTTATCCTTCCAGGATTGATGAAATGGGATGATGCCTTTGCTCTAGCCGTCCTATGAGGTGGACATGTATATGGATGGATCCTCCTGTTGTCTCCTTTATCTCCCTGTGTATCTGTGAGTACACTGAGTAGCTCTCTTGGGGTCTCCCAATTCCCCTCCTGGGGTTGTTTCCTCGTTCACTCCTCCTTATATCAGCTCATGGGATGTTTGGTCAAAGAAAAGGAAAAGCAGACCATAGTGTCTTATCCTTATATAAAATGGATTTATTTTTGCCAATAACAAGTATACCTTGATGGTATGCAGCTCATAAATGATCCAATCAGGCATAGATGGCAATCAGCAGGTAAAAAAGAAAAACCTCTCTGCAGCTGCCCTTGCAGTGCTGTCTGCCTGTGCTTGTACTCGGATCTGCTCGCTTCTCCAGTGCAATGTCGTGACGTCAGAGCCCCTACCCCTACGCGTTGCGTCACAGGGTCACGTGACTTCATCAGGGGGAATGACCCTGTGACGCAACGCGTAGGGGAGGGGCTCTGACGTCACGACATTGCACTGGAGAAGCGAGCAGATCTGAGTACAAGCACAGGCAGACAGCACTGCAAGGGCAGCTGCAGAGAGTTTTCTTTTTTACCTGCTGATTGCCATCTATGCCTGATTGGATCATTTATGAGCTGCATACCATCAAGGTATACTTGTTATTGGCAAAAATAAATCCATTTTATATAAGGATAAGACACTATGGTCTGCTTTTCCTTTTCTTTGACCAAACATCCCATGAGCTGATATAAGGAGGAGTGAACGAGGAAACAACCCCAGGAGGGGAATTGGGAGACCCCAAGAGAGCTACTCAGTGTACTCACAGATACACAGGGAGATAAAGGAGACAACAGGAGGATCCATCCATATACATGTCCACCTCATAGGACGGCTAGAGCAAAGGCATCATCCCATTTCATCAATCCTGGAAGGATAAAAAGCGTATTTGCCTGGATTCATTCAGGCAAATATAGAGGTGAGCATATAAGGAGACCATCTAGCACTCGGAGACAAGGAACAGAATATTCACTTGCACATTTATCTTAAAGACTGCATTTTATTTGTTTAATTTTAGCACGTGCACATGTGCTTTTGCACTATTAACATAGAGTACACACAGCTTTATATGGGTGCAACACAGGATTTCACCGTGGCACCCATTAAGGCAATATTAGTTTAAGATTCACTATATATATATATGTTATTTTTATGTATTATTGTATATGCATTTAGTGGTATAGTCACAGTTTATATTGATATTTGATACACCTTAGAAGCTCAAGCTGTATATATTAATACATAGGAGCGCGGCGCTATCTTTTTTTTATCATTTATATACACTAGTTAAGTGAGTCAGTGCAAGTGCCAGCGCACCTTATACACTTTCAGAACATATTGAACACCTCGATCCATAATTAGCTCACAAGTATTCACTATAATTAAACCTTCCAGCTTGCTATTGTCTCCTGATAATTGTAATTGTTACATGGGTACAGGAGTTCGAAGACTTGCCAGGGCTTGTAGACATTTCTTTAGCAGTTATTAATCACTTCGGCCTATAGAGCAGGCTTATTATGAGCAGCTGATACTGATGGCTTGCTGGTGTAGGTCAGGGGTGGACTGACAGTTCATGGGGCCCCCGGGGCAATAGGGGATCGTGGGGCCCCTGTGTCCTTGCCCAAACTCAAAAAAGCCTATGAAAAAGGTACCAGGGGCATCTCATGGGGCCCCCTACGGACCCCGTTCCCTCGGGCAGTGTCCAAGTTTCCAAATGGTCAGTCCGCCCCTGGTGTAGGTACATACACAAGAGTCATGACAGCTTCTGTCTATTTCTTGTGATATGATTATGGTTTTCCTTTCTAACACATAAATGTGCATTAGGTTTTACCTTCTGAATCATTGTAGAGTTGTCCAGGGGTAGAAAGATGGAGCTGAAAACAATTTGGTCTTTTGTTATTTAAAACAATGTGGTCATTTATTGCTTATGTGTTGCTAGCTATGATGCAGTTTGTAAACAGCAGTGCATCTGTTAACAGAAACATGCAAGGTGACTTTTCATAGCCAACGTTTTCACATTCTATACAATTAAAGAGACCCTGTCCCCAGACCATTCATTTTAACAAAAACATTTTGTCAGGGACCCTGGGCTTCGCGGCGATACGCCGGGCGGCGCATGCGCAGAAGGCCGACACGCACTAGCCAGCAGGCGGCAGGACCTGGGCAACCACAGCAACAGCGACGGCTGCACATGCGCACTCGCGATTGCGGACACGCGCCTGGCACCAATGACAGCGCAGGGCACGCTATTTAAACAAGCTAGGGGGTATGTACATTGCCGTTTGGTCTTGATAATCTGTTCCTGTGTTCTGCCTGTGAAGCTTCCCTGTTGATGACCTCTGCTTGATCCTGACCCTGCTGACTGTCTCCTGCTTGATCCCTGGCTCGTCCTGACCACTCTCCTGCCTGCCCCTTACAATTGATCTCCCGTTGCTGAACTTGACTTGACCTGACCATTCTCTGACTGCTCCTTTGGTACCTCGCTGCCCACACGTTACCGACCTGGTCCGCCTGAATACGCCATACCTCACGGTATCCATTCATCCATCCCGCACGGATCAGTCCCTGCTGCCAGGCCTGCCAGCCTCTTCTCATCAGGCCCCATTCCTTGCACACCTCTGACGTACCCTCTACCATAGCCGGACGTACTCAGGGGTCGCGACCTGGTCTCAGTCTGCTCCAAGTCCATCCCCACCATCAGGGGCCCTGGTGAACAAGCAGATTGGGACTTAGACTCCGCGCCCTGAGGAACCCCACGCTGTGGGCAGCTAGAGATACCGCCAGGCGGTGGCTGACACCTTTGCATAAGATTATATGTGCATTTAATTTATTTCAGGCGTATTATTTACCTGAAAAACCTCCCTTGTGTAGACATCCAAAATCCCTGTCTCTAGGCTCCACCATCTTGAATGTGATGTCAGCAGCCCCAAAAGACCCAGAGCTGTCTCTTAGCTGACACTCTATAGTATTCCCCTTCACCTTCCCCTGACAGCTACATAAAAGATAATGTAGGGAGGTGTGGGGAGGAGGAGCTGGGTCAGAAAAAAGCAGTTTAGACATTCCTAGAAGAGGAGAGGGCTATGATGTGCGAAAAGGGAGGGAGCTGTGCCAGGGAATTGACACTCCTAGAGTAGTCACATTTTCTAGCAAGTTCAAAGGCACATTGCAAGTGAATACAAAAATCTTTTATGGAAAGGAAAAACGCTGCAACTGGACATTTAAATTACTTGATTTTTCTGTGCTTTTGCTTACAGTTTTGATGACAGCCCTTCACGCCTAAGGGTAAAACAAATCTTAATGCCTAAGCACAATTTTGCAACATTGACATGTGTTAGTAAAACCGTACATATCATCACAAATACTTTGTACGTCCAGGTGAATTATACCTTGTTTTTTTAGGAAAAATTGGGCTTTCATTTGGTGGTAAATGGTAATGGATATCTCCTAATTTTTGTTTATTATCAAATAAAAATTGGCCCAAAATAGTAAAAATAAAAAGTCTTTTTTTTTTTTTTATCTGTTCCTTGTTCCTTGTTACTACCATAACCTACCACCAAAGAACAGCCCAAAATACATTTTCCAGCTCTTGACGATCGCAGCGATACCATATATGTGAATGTTATTTGTTGTTTGTACCCGTAGTACAGCCCAGAAACAATAGTGCGCATTTTGTCTTTTGTTTACCTAAAACACACTGACACTAATACTAATTTTTTTTAAAAAGCTTGACCTTGACCCAAACACCCTGACACTGAACTAGATCAAACCTTGATCTAGGTATTTTTTAATATTTATTTATTTATCTTGTTTTTTTTTTAACAATTTTTTCCCCTCTATGCCATGAGTTATAGAGATACAATGTATCTCTCTCCTCCATTCATAGAGAGAGAAAAAAAAACAAGTGGGACCATGCTGTACAGTGACTGATCACTGTGATAGCCAATCAGAGGCTATCACAGCAATCATGTGACCCGGAATCGGGGGTCCCAATCATTAGAACGGGACCCGGGGGTCTCAGTGACATCCCGGTGTTTGTGCTTGGAGCGCGCTCTGCGGCGTGCTCCCAGCACAAAGACAGGTACGCAAATATGCGGCCCCATGGAAAAAAGCCCAGTTCTGTGAGGCCTCATATTTGTGTGATGTCAGCATCAAGGGTTTAAACAAACGACTACACTTATGCAAGTAATAACACATTTCCTGTTTCCAGCTCACATAAAAATTGTATTTCTGATCCTTAACATCATTATGCCCTTCAAGAGAACTGAGCTAAATTGAAAGAAAAAAAAAAAGTCTTGCAAATGTGTACTTACTATGCCTCCTTTGCACAGAGGATCATAATGTGCAGCACTTATATAAACATTCTGGCATTAGCCATTTGACATGGACAAGAATGCATCAGAAACACTTCACAGAGCGGGTTATAAATGTATAAAAAAAAAAGTTGTTGCACACAAATAGCAGCACAGATTATTCTCTCAAAATTGTTTATTTTAATGAACTTATATTTTGTACCTGAATTTGTGCAGTGTTTTGATTAAATGTTTGTTATTAGTGACATCCTAAATTTCTTACGGTGCGGAGAACTTCCTCCTCGAGAACGTGTGAAAATGGTGTACAAGGAGGCCCAGTACTACTCAGTTGGACCCTTGCTTGATCTCTTAGACAAAATGCAACCACTTACTGGAGAGAAAGTCAGACAAGCATTTCTTGACTTGATGCCTTACTACAAAGGTGAGTACATGTATTTAACACAACTTAGCAAATAGAGCTTTCAAAGAGAAATGATAAATGCTCATAATCGAATTTGGTTTAAAGACGAATTACAGCCTCCCCCACCCCATTTATTTTTTTTAATCCCTGCTTACCTAATGCTGGGTTGTGCACGATTCCTACTCAACCAACCAGTGGGTCCAGTGTTGTCCTGCTGAGATTCACTTTCTTTCTGCAACCGCTTGGGTCCTGCACTGCCATTTTCTTTTGTGATGTCATCTTCTTGGTTCAGGCAGATGCCTTCCAATGATGCACTGCTAGGCCCACCCCCTCCTCCTCTTATGAATGGAAGACTATGCCTTGTGGGATAGGTGACATGCATATCCCAGGAGGCATCGGGAGAAATGCACGTCATTCAAGATGGGGGTGGGACTGAAGCCTGTACATTGAAAAAAAAAGGGGAGGGTTGGAGAGAAGGAAAGTTTATTTTCAAGGTGAAGATCTGCTTTAAGAAACTTTAAAAGATGTACTTACCTTAAAGACAGACTGTCACCAGCCATTTGACTACTAATTAATCTGGTCCTCTCTATGTGGGAGTTTCAGGTATTCTCGCTGGCTGTAAGAGACAGCAGGCAAGATGTGTATATTGGGGGACAGGGGGCCATTTCAGATATACTGTCACTTTTCCTTTCATGGGCATGGCAACAGTGCATCTTCAGCTTATGAACTTTGTTCTTTTCTGGTTGTCCAGCCAGTCTGCAGTTCCTTACAGGTGGTTAGTTAGCTGTACCAAACAAACTGGAGAATGCTTTACTGTGTCTATGGATAATCAATAGGTTTGCCTATTCTATAATTAGGTGTCCAGAAACTGCTTCTTCTGCTGTCCTAGTGTTTATACCTTTTTTTTTAAATCCCTTTGTCAACATCTGACTAAACAAAAGGTTAGATGGTTGGATCATTGTGAATATGTGATCTAACAAAAAATGGTCTAGCCTGAACTGGGAACTCCCAGACCCCTCTCTTGTTCCTTACACAAACTAGTTTACATTGCCTATAAAAATAATTCACGCCCCTGGAAGATTTCATGCTTTATTGTCATAGAATACTGAATTTGAATTTAAATTGTATTTAAATTTGTATGTTGTGAAAACAAATCTCTACAATGTGATTTAAATTAATGACAATGAAAAAACATAAAATAACTGCCTGGATAAGTGCACTCACTGTTTAATACAGCATACTTAAATCATCGCTAGTGCATTTCCAAAGTCACATCATTAGATAGAGATTAGCTTTGTAAAGTCAAGGGATTTGAAGAGATTGTAGTAAATGTACATGTGTTTCTGGTGAGTATTGTGGCATAAACCTATACCATGAAGACAAAGAACACTCCAGTGGCTGAGACTGGAAATGCTATGCCTGTAACAGCAAAACAAGCCAGAAATAAGTATGTCTCACATGTATCTGGCCTACAATTTGGCAGAAGTCACATGAGAGATTCTGAAGTCAGCAGAAATGAGATTCTATTTTCTAATGAACCAGAATTGAGCTTTTTGGCCATCAGTCTTTTGACTCTTTGTTTGACATTAGCCAAACACTGTACATCATGATCAACACACCATTCCCACTGTGAAGCATGATGGTGTCAGCATGGTGCTATAGGCATGCTTTTCTGCAGGATGTCCTGAAATGCTTGTAATGGTAGGGAGTAGGTAAATGTAGCAAAATATAGGAGATTTCTGGAAGAAACATTATACAGTACAGCCTGCAGGAACCATGAGCCTTTATGGGAAATTCAGGTTCCAGCAAAACAGTTACCTTAAAGGAGGCATACAGGCAAAGCTCTTTTGCCTGTGTTTCTCCTGCAGATCACAGGAGTGCAGTTCATGCTGCACTCCTGTGACCCATTTTCAGCTGGCAGCAGGCTGAAGCCTGCTGCCAGCTGACATCACTGAGCTGGTCCAGGGTGGGAAAAGATCCTGACTTAAAAGTCGGGATCACCCCAGAGTCTGCAGCAGCACCTGGCTCAGCCTTTCAGTGATCCGCTGAGAGCCTGAGCAAGCCGCTTCCTCCCCCTCTATGGCCCTGCTCTCCAGTGAGCGTGGGGGGGGGGGGGGGGCAGAGCAGAGAGTGGTGACTGACAGTCACCACTCTCTGCTCACAGTGACGGTGAGATCAGCTGTCATGTGATTGCTGAGTTCTCACACTTGGAGCCAGCAGGGGACAGATGCAGCATTGGATCAATGCTGCATCCACCTACGTAAGTATAATTTGGGAACAGAAAAACCAAAACTTCTCTTTTAAGCATAAAGCCAACATTACACAAGAATGACTTCAAACAACAACATTCATGTTCAGAAATAGATAAACGGAGTCCACATCTCTATCCAGTACAGAGTTTGAAGTTGAAAAAAGACTTAGTTACGATTTCCATGCAGCCTAACAGAGCTAGAGCAGTTTTCCAAAGAGGAATGGGGCAAAACTGTAGTGTCCAACTGTGCAAAGCTGATATGGACCAATTAACATAGACGCAAGGTCTTCATAAACATTAACATGAAGGGGAATTAGGTTATATTTTGTGTTTTTCCTCATAAGTAATGCCATTCCCTTGAAAAAAGATTTGTTTTCACTTCTACAATACAGATCTGTTGATCAGTGTGAAAATGTATTGCTGTAGGGGCACACTAGCTTCATGCACACTAGCATTTTTTTCTTGTCCTAGAAGCTAAGTGTTATCCTATGTCCATGCACACTATATTAGACTAGTAGCATTTTTCAAGCTTCAGCGTTAAGGAGCAGAAAAAAAATGTTTTTGTAGAGATTTTGGGAACATTTTTCCGACAGAAAAAAAAACACTGAACGCTCCTAAACACCCCTAAATGCTCCTAAATGCCACTAAACAGCTTTTTTTCTAGCTTTTTTTTTTCTTTCTACATGTACTGTAAAAATGCTAATAAAACACTAACGATTCTAAACTCTACTACAGCACTACTAAAAAAACCTTCTTTCCAGCGTTTTTTATCCAGATATTTTTTGAGCTTTAACAAAAAACTGCTAGTGTGCATGGAGCCTTAAGGAGTATATTGAAGATTGAGTATCTCAAAGCCATGTTTTTAAAATTTACATTATTTACAGTATTTACAGTATTTTGACAGGATTTAAGTTTTTTCAAAACTTTTTTTTTTTCAAAGATCACTTGGAGCGCATCATTGAAATTGGAAAGCTGCGAGCTATCCAGAGAAAGGCAAGATTTGCTAAGCTGAAGGTCTGTGTCTTCAAGGAAGAGATGCCTATTACCCCTTTATGAGTGTCCTCAATTTAATGCACTACGATTTGAGAGGAGTGAGACTGAGTCAAAGCACTTTGAGCACCACTGCGAGGTAGATGTGTCTTTCGGTCCCTGGGAAGCAGTGGCAGATGTATATGATCTTTTGCACTGTATAGTTAGTGATCTGTCTGAGAGGGGCATCGCTGTCGAACACCAGTGCATTGGTGTGTGTGATAAGCACCTTGTTTAATCACTATTACTGCAAACGTCCAATCTATGAATTCAAGATCACTTGGTGGTGAAATGCTGCAATTAGGGCATGAAGACCAAACTGCACCTAGGACCAAATACCTTCTAAAATGCACTGCAAGTGTGACTCACAGACTGTTAAACCATGTCTATCAATATTTAAGATGTAAAAAAGTGTACTAAATACTCCATACAGTACAAAAGCTGTAGTGATGCCTTCTCCAGAGTTACTGGGCTAGTTATAAGGTTGTTTGCACTAAATATCACAAATACTAATAGTTTAGTATGAAAGAAAAATAATCTTTAATTTTGTATATATTAGAGATAAATCTGTAAGAATCATTTAGTGGTGTAATTTATTGTCCAGCTGTTCTAGGCTGGTTCATTATTTTTATTATGTACCATATAATGTATTTATTAATGTTAATGCATATAATGCCATGAAGTATATAGGAGGCACTTAGGATCTATAGAGACATTTGCAAACCAGAGAAAATGGGTTTGCACTCTATATATTTAGTAATTTGGTGCAGTTATTAAAGTCAAAACATACACACGACTACAAATTCTAACTATATTTGTAATACAAGCCACAAATGAATATGCGCAAAGCTAACTGCTGTTATCAAAATGTTGTGTGTTTTTATCTGACATCCACTATCTCCTGCGCTCAAGGACCAAAAGAAGATTATTAATGAACAGTGTGTTCATCCACTGCTGATCAAAGGTTGTATCATGAAGCTGGGGAAGCTCGATAAAACTGTAGAAGGGGATAAAAGAAAGAGCGCACCAACCTTGCGCATTACTTCAGTAAACAATGAATTTTTTTTTATTTAGGGAATATACTCACAAGAGAGTAGCGATAAAACAGGCATAAAATAACCATAGTCCACACAAGGTTACAGGTCAATCCAAAGCAGAGATAAAAGCTAACACGTTTCGAAGGGTGATCCCTTCTTCATCAGAGCTGATAAAAAAAACACACAAATTCCCCTCAAAGTATTACATAAATCACGGATATTAAACATGGCATAACAGGAGGTAATACTGTAAATGAGCATAAAAATACGCATAAAAATACTGTAAATACTGTAAAACGAACTAGTTTTACAATTAAGCGCTCAACCTTTCCACCGTATATATTTTCCTACCCATTTTTTCTATGTGTTTTTTTATTTTATCATTAGAAGTATTAGTATTTTTATGCTCATTTACAGTATTTTTATGCTCATTTACAGTATTACCACCTGTTATGCCATGTTAATATTCGTGATTTATGTAATACTTTGAGGGGAATCTGTGTTTTTTTTTTTATCAGCTCTAATGAAGAAGGGATCACCCTTTGAAACGCGTTAGCTTTTATCTCCCCTTTGGATTGACCTGTAACCCTCTGTGTGGACTATGGTTATTGTATGCCTGTTTTATCGCTACTCTTTTGAGTATATTTCCTAAATAAAAAATGTTTTCAATGTTTAAGGTAATGCGCAAGGTTGGTGCGCTCTTTCTTTTATCCCCTTCTACAGTGTGTTTTTATCTGTTCAAGTTGGATATGTTCATATTTAACCTCAATATGTCAAATGAATATTGGCAATTTTTGTCATACAAGGCAACCTGCTCACTTAGCACATTTTTGCATCAATGCATGAAAACATGTTAATGGAGTGGTCTCTGATTGGCTAGGTCACTGTAAATAACTATAATTTTTACAGTTTCATCATCTGTGTTTATGACATTTTCTTTATAATGACATCATTGGAAACTTTGCTTACTTGCCACATATTGCTTTCTGTATGAGGGTCAGCCAGGTGCTACATAAGCTTCCCAGTAGGTTTCCAATGAACTGCTTTTAATGCACCAGTCTCATTAAAGAGTGACTAGGCAATTGCCTGGGATTTATCCACAAAATGAGGTTCCAGTAACAAAGTGAATCTAAATTGAAGAGGGACACATAAGGCAGACTTCTTGGTTAAAATCTATGCATGCGTAGGCGCGCGTATAGGGCAGCCTATTCATTTCAATGGACTGCCCTACCTACAAGAAACGTGAGGAAAGAAGTTCTTGACTCTTTTGTAAAATTGTTTCGCACAGAACCACAGTTGCCGATGTGTGGGGGTGCCATTAAGAATTAATGAGATCCCTGCACTTCTGCTAAAGGGCAGCTCATTTCTGTGCATGTCGAAAAAGCACATCATTTTGCGCACATAAACCTACCTGCCTGCCCTAAGTCTTCTGCAGAATGTATACTGAACTGCGCAAGAAAATTTTATATTATATTATAACAGTTTATATTCTGGCACAGATTCTGCATGTCAGGATGACTGAACTTCTTCGCATTCACACACTATGGATCTCAATGCCCCTTTGAATGTGCTCTAAAGGTTATATACTAATATCATGTGCTGATATGAATGTTCACTAAGCAGCAATTAGTAAAGGTACCCTTAAGGTAGAAGGTCTGTCTGTTTGACCTGATAGATTAATTGATTGTAAGTTACATAGAGTATTTGCTATTACAGTAATTGCACGACAGTATCAACAAACCTGTTTTTTTAATATGATCTTTGTTGAGCATATATATCAGTCAACAACGGGAGTTATTTTTGGTATGCATATGCCTCTTTTTCACTTACACAGAAAGTGCAAAACACAAAGCTAGTATAATGCAATAACAAATAGTAACCACATTACCTCTTTCTATTGGTCTGAATACAGTAACTGAGATCTGGAAAATAAATACAGGTTACTATTGTTTCTTTTTTTTTTTTTCGTTGAAGCTTATAGGTACCATGAGCAGGTGCCATATTTTTTGCTGTGGTCTAATAAAAACATTCATCCAACTGCAATGACAATAAATAAGTACTGAGCTACTCTCAATAATAAAATGGTTTCCTTATTACTAAAAACTGTGAAAATATACAGTATACTGTATTCTATGTAATGCAAGGTAATGCAGCATGTGGATACGTGCAGACAGACTTGTGTATATACACTCATATATTTACATATTGTGTTTATATCATGTAATTTGGGTAAGGAAATTGAATGACAAATGTTTGATTTACTCTGGAATTGACATGTAAATTCTTTGGCCACATTTAATCTTTATTTTTACTGTCATTTTTGTGTATAAATAATAGCTGTATAGGAATCCAATCCTAGGTGACAGCAGGCTATTATATTTAATAGAATAATTGCAATGTGAAAAGATTGCCCTCTTGACATTCTGGATGCACTGAGATTACTGTGCATGTGAAGTGTCAGCTCAGCACAAAGTGTGCCTTAGAAAAAACAGCCATTCCTTTAAGGGCACTCTGCTATTCTGACTAAGTAAGAATAGGCTAGACATTCCTTCCTTTTACAGTATATACAATGCTCAGGTTCATATCCATTATATATCTGTTGTAGCTGTGAAATTTCTTTCATGTCCATTACGTGTCTAATCAGACAATGGAAAACAAATAGCCCCAGGATCCTCTACCCAAAATGCCAAGTTTTTTGCCAGTATCCTAGGTTAGACAGATGTCAGCTCTGCTGAGAAATGTTTAACTAGTCTTTCCTAGCATTTTTTCTTCAGTTTTTGGCCTCCTGCACACAGGACAGTTTGCAAACTCCCCTAGAAGTCTTTCCTCCTGGCAGTAACGTTTTGGCAGAAAAAAAGCCTGATGCTTGTAAAAGTGTCTAAAATGTTTACCAGCTAGTAGGCTCATTTACAGGTGTCAGGAGCTCAGATGTTACTTCATTTTATTGGCCAGAATAATAATTTATTTTGGCTATTAAAATGAATAAACCCTCAAGTACTGAATGCGCCTAGCGTTTAGACACATTTAGCAGCGTTTAGCAGTGTCAAGTGCTTCTCCTGGATGCACTGGCAGTGGGTTTTTTTACTGCCTCTAAAAGCTTCTGCCACTAAATGCTGTTAAAAGCCTCTGTTTGCATGGACACACAGGCTATCATGCAGGGGAGTTTAGAAGCAGGAAAATAAACACCTAGCACCCCTAGAAGCAGCTGCAAAAACGTCCAGTGTGCATGAGGCTTTGTTCTTCTTCTGTCTTCTTTAATCAATATTCCTCACTACATCTCTGCTTATGCTTGTCTCTTTATAGCAGTCTTTCCCCAGCATTTTGTCCCTTCCTCAGATTGACTTTGGAGTGGAGTACCTGAACCCTGTTAGACTGGATGTTGTGGGGCCAGCCTGAACTGTTACCTTTGAGCACTGAGTTCAGTATTATGGCACTTTGCAGACCTTTGTGAACTGGTAAAAGTTTGCTGTGGAGTGCTTTCCAGGCTTAAAGCAGTAGCTTTTCCTCAGCCTCTGAAGACTCACATAGATCGAAATTCGGCCAGTTCAGGAGGGATGCCTGAATTTCGATCTATGCATGTGCAAGCTTATACACAAGTCTGTATATTGATCTACTTTTATACATCCAGCCTGTCAGGTTTTTTCCGAATGATCAGTACCACAGGCTATAGCCAACAGCACTGATCATTGTATTCCGACGGTGAGGAAGTCTCTCCTAAGGCCAGTCAGGCTGAAGTATTGGGAGTTACCTCACTATTTCCTCAGCTGGGTGCCTTTAAAATTTCCTGCAACCACCTGTTAAAGGGTTACCACTCAGCATTGCCATTCACTGGGTGGAGTTCTGTGCACGCTTTCTAGCTATTCAGCATAGAGGAATTACCATTCACTGCTGCTTTTGCTGAGCTAGACCCCACACTCCTACTGCCCATTCAAAGTGACCTGGTCACTTCTGGTCTTCAGCATCAGCTGCCTGTTTTATTGAGTACCTGTGGCCTTGCCTCACACTTTTGGTCCAGTTGCATCACCGCCATGCAGTTGCAACATATCTAGAGAGGGGACAGACTTTATGGTTTCTGAATCTATGGCAGAAACAATGCCTGCAATCTAGTTTCAAGTGAGCATGTAGTATAAATGTCGACATTATCTGAATTTCCATCAGGTACAATGGTGTAGACTGGGGCGCCTACCTTGCCACTGGGGCCTCTACTGCATCTTAAGATCTTGTGGCCAAATTCATTTGAGCCCTCATGGATACTAGCTGCAGAGACTCTAAGCGTGCCCTCGGTCCACCCTGTACAGAGACTGTCCCTGACCTTCCAAAGGCATTAGAACAAGCAGGCTGGGCCACCGATCACTGTGACCATCTCTAACTCAGATCAGAGTGCCAACAGTCTGTCTTTGAAGAGATTGTTCTTAGGACACTGCTGTCGCCTTCTGTCACCTCACAATTACAGGGTGTTATTTCGGACTATATTGATGCAGTGCTTACTACATTGTATTTCAAGGATTTGAGGGACCCTCCTTCAATGGTTGTCTACCTTTCCTAATTTTCATCTGTCTTTTTTATCCCCCTTCTCGGTTTTTTTATGGGGTGTAGTTTTTGCGCAGGTTAACGTGTCTGTCTCTGTGTCACCAAGTAGTCCCTGGTGTGATCCTTCAGCCTATCCAGGAGTCGAAGAAGAATTATTTTTCCTGGTTTCAGGGTGCTTTGCTCTTTGGGGAACCATCATCCTTTGGGCTACTCATTGGCTCTTTAGAACAGGTGTTTTTTTCCACATCAGGGATCCCAACCTGGGCAGATCTAATGGCTCAGACTCTGGTGGACATGTCCACGGTGTCTTTGATCTGAGGGACCAGGGGCTTTCTTAGAGCTATTGCTTGAGTTCAGTCATAGATAGGGCAGTTTCTTAGTAGGATCCACTTGGAGTGTGCCTACGGCACCTTTATGTTTCAGGGAGGATGTATGGCTTCATTTTAAGTTTCACCTGATGATTCCTCATCTCATCGTTCTGGGGCTAGGGCCTCACATCTGTTTCCTGACTACCCTTTTGGGGCTGCCTCCCATGCACCCTACTTCTTCAGTCACAGTGACTTAGATGGATTAAACCCCTGAGTTTTCTGACGGACCCAGGAGTCACTTCATATCTTTTGTGGGCTGCCGTGGGTTTTTTTTGCTTTTCAAGGGTTTCCTGGAAAGTTTCATCTAGTGAGAATGGTTGTCTGACAGACAATCTCTTTAGGCAAAAAGTTCCCCTGCATGTAGACTGGCTTGCTTTGTCACCTAGACATGTTTTGACCCTAGGTTATTTTCTGGGACCTGTTTCTTCTACGGCTTTTCCCCAATATTTTGTTATTAACAAAATATGCTATGCTACCCCTTTAAACCTGTTTATAAAATACACTCAGCACAATATACTGTGATCATTACATTCAAAACATCCCCTTAATAATTGACATTAATCCTGTGAAATACAACTAGTCAATTGGGTGGATTACAGTTTATTGTGTTGAGCATTTTTTATACATAAAGGGGTAGTGCAGCTTTTTTTGTTAATAACACTAGATATTTTGTGTTCTGATATCTTGCGAGCTGCTCCTTCATTTTAGTTTTTAGTTATTGTTTTAATTTTATGATGTTTTTATATAAACACTGAGTTAACAGGTTATATAGAACTATTCCAGTATTTGGTTGTCCACATCAGGTCGTGGGTCTTCTCTTCCCTAATGGGAATTTGTTGTGATTTCACCTTTTATTGGTGTGTTTGGTTGATCACCTTCTTGATAGTTCTTGTTCTGTGCCCCTTCAGTGTGTAGTCATTCCTTCTGGTGATGATCAAAATCTTGAGCATTAGGTTAATTCTCTGTGTCCAACCTCTAGTCATTTTGGCAGGTTACCCTATCTGGTAGGTTAGTCTAATCAGATTGGTCATCAGCTTAAACCAGTCCTCAGGCACCATCTAAGCAGGAGGCAGTCCACAGTTATTGCATTGGGCTTGTTAGTGATTTTTATTACGTTGCCCACCCCTCAGTTGGACTACTTTTGGATGTCCAACAGAATCGAAAATTCCTGTTTCCTTATTGGACTTAAAGAAAAAGATTTCATGGTGTGTAAAAAAAAGTTCCTATTTTATATGTCTTAGGTAGGACTTTCCTCCATTGTTATTTTTATTATTATTTATTGTACTTCTGTAATGCCGACATATGATGCAGCACTGTTGTTTGCTTTCTACATGGACTCTGAGAGGCATATTTTACTGGCTGAATGCAAAACTTAATGAAAATGGTTAAAGCAGACCAAAAGCCTTGGATGTCTTTAAAGCTTACACCCTAAAGAAAACCAGTTCCTGTAATAAACATTTTAAACTATAACACAGATTGTAAAACAGTGTCCTGGGAACCATGCAAACAGGGATTCTATGATATGCAGCCCAGTGTCCAGCTCTGCAACCCCTCCAGTACCTTACTACTGCAGTTGACCATAACAGTAACGAACCAGTAGTAATGTGCAGAAGGTAGGAGAGGAAAGTAAGAGAGGTTCACTGTATAAGCTATTGGCATACAAGAGCACACAAGTTCCCAGGGTATCCTGGAGCCTTCTGTGGAGAATTGGGTCTGATATGCAGGCACCTGGAGTATGAGTGGCAGTTTATATTGTGTGATACAAGTGTACATTATTTGTTGTGTTTTGCAGATGTTGGTACTGTTTCCACTCCAGTAGGTACTGTGTACCAGGGGCGGACTGACAACTCATGGGGCCCCTGGGCAATAGGGGATCATGGAGCCCCTGTGTCCTTGCCCAAACTCAAAAAAGCCTATGAAAAAGGTACCAGGGGCATCTGATGGGGCCCCCTATTGACCCCGGGCCCTCGGGCAGTGCCCGAGTTTCCTAATGGTCAGTCCGCCCCTGCTGTGTACTTTTAAACCTAGTACACTGCATACTAGTTATCTTTACTAAACACTGGTAAGTGTAAATCTGTAAAATATATATACAAATACTGCAAAAAAAAAAACCACAGAACTGCTACAACAGTAAATATAGTCCTTGCTTCATTCTACATTATTTGAGTTGTGTTCCTCCAGTACTCTTTCACAGTGAATTGAAAGTAGTGTCCACAAAGATGTAATGTATTTTGTTTGCATGTCAGTTTTATTTAAATATATGGATTTTAATACCCAGTACTGGACATATGCCAGTTTTCAGGGAATTTCAACCAAGTTCATCAGCTGTCAACTGCAAAAATTACAACAGTGATGATGCAACCTACCACCAACAGTTTCTCTCCAAACAATGAAATGATATAAGTGGTGAGGATAGTTGCTTACTTCTATCTGTTTTATTTTTTTGTGAGGGTAATTAAGTGTCTCAAAATTGCCTTGTGTCTGGCCAGCCTGAGACTATGATGGTAAAAAGTGAAAACGTATTTTGTTATAGTGTGTATTTTTTTTATTTTCTTAAACCTTTAATAAATGCACAAGGTAACGTACTGTTAGAAATACAGTATGATGCAAAATGTCAGCAATGCTTTTTCTAGAGACTTCTGTGTTCACACAATATTACATATATTTGTCACATGTAATGTTTAGTAATCATGACAAGTACTAAATAAATACATTCTGCTACAAATGAGTCAATGGTAATATTTCAATATATGTGTGCAGAAATGGCAATATTGAATTTCAGAAACTGTGTACTATTCGCTCTGTGTCAATATTTTTGCATTACCTTACAGCACAGGTGTCAAACTGCCGGCCCTCCAGCTGTTGCCAAACTACAAGTCCCATGAGGCATTGAAAGATTGACAGTTACAAGCATGACTCCCAAAGGCAGAGGCATGATGGGACTTGTAGTTTTGCAATAACTGGAGGGCCGCCAGTTTGACACCACTGCCTTACAGTATATATTTTTATAATAATAGGAGTATAAGTTATTTTGGATGCTTTTTCATTTACTTGTACAGTAGAAGCCATTTGGTGAAGCATTAAAATAACAGGAGTGGTATCACCCATTGCAGTAAGTAAGATCTGTTCAATTATTTATTATAGGTACTTATATAGTGCCGTCAATTTACGTAGCGCTTTACATATATATTTTACATTCACATCAGTCCCTAACCTTCATAGGGTGTACAATCTAAAGTCCATAACTTACATTCATACACATATTAGGGACAATTTAGACAGGATCCAATTAACCTACCAGCATGTCTTTGGATTGTGGGAGGAAACCGGAGTACCTGGAGGAAACCCACGCAGGTACAGGGAGAACATGCAAACTCCAAGCAGGTGGTGCCGTGGCTGGATTGAACCAATGACCCTAGTACTGCCAGGCGGAAGTGCTAACCATTTACTGTGGTGCCCGTTATAACTTCTATTTTATGTATGTTGATAAAAGTAGAGAGAGAAAGTATTGCCCAGTCAGTACATTGCATTGTTTGTATGTGGTCACAATTTACTGACAAATAAATCAGGTCTAAAGCTGGCCATAGATGGATTGAAATTTGGCTGGTTCAGCAGGGACCAGCCAAATTTGGTTCCATCTATAGTCATTACCGTTTGAGTGATTTGACCCATTGATCAATTCTTCTTGACCAGGACTATTGGAAATTTTGTTCTTGATCAGCAAATGCAGCTCAGTGTACAGTATACTGGCAGCAGAAGAGTCCCGCTGTCAGAATATAATAGACAGCGGGGGGGATTTTTTCATCCACCTCAAATGTGTGGATAGGGGAATTTATATTTTTTTTTTTCGCATTGGGTTGTAGGATCTGTAACAACTGTGTAGATTAAGGAAACCTACCACCATCAGTTTCTGACAAAGCTGTGATCAAAATTGTTAGGGCCAATTCAGAATATACATTGTTATTCTTATTAGGGCTCTTGTACATGGTTGTATAAAAGTACAGTAACTAGTATGTACAGCTTTATAGCTTAAATGGCCCCATAGCTAGGACACATGTGCCCATCTGCATAGTTTCACCGCCCGGCCAGTTCTGAGTGGAGATGATTCCCAGACCCATTGATCAATTCCTTCTTGACCAGGACTATTGGAAATTTTGTGATCAGCGGTGTCCAATCACGCTGATCACAGGGAAATGCAGCTCAGTGTTCTGTATCACGCTGGCAGCAGAAAGAGTCCCCGGTCAGAATATTGTACAGCGGGGGGGATCGGCAACCGATCATAGCACTGATGATCAGTGCCCTGATGATCGGTGCCCAGCAGTGACACCCGCAATTGCCCAGCAACTAGCCCCGCCCATAAACCTGTGCCCACAGTGCCCCCACCTGTGGCAGTGGGCCACTCTGCAGTTTTTTGCCACCTCAAGCATGTGTGCCCACCCACCTGTCAGGATTGGGCCCAATGCTTCAGTGCCACCAACAGTTTTTTTTTCAGAAGTGATTCAGTGGTCTATCAGTACCCATCATCAGTGTCACCTATCAGTTGTATCAGTTTATCAGTGCCGAAATCTGTGACCCCTAATTAGTGCTGTCTATCAGTGCCGCCTATCCGTGCCACCTCATAGTACTGCCTATCTGACAAGTGCTGTTGATTTAGTTGCCTATCAGTATACAGTGTTATTCTTGCCCATTAGGGCTCTTGTACATGGTTGTATAAAAGTACAGTATAGCGCTAGTATGATTAAATACAGCTTTATAGCTTAAATGTTGGCCCCATAGCTAGGACACATTGGCCATGTGCCTTCAAGTGGTTAAAGAAGCCACCTAGTGACCTTCTGTTGCTAGGACGTGGGCGGCTGCTCAAGGAAGATGCCTACCATTCTGCATTGCTAGGAAGCAGCGGTTCAAGAAAACAGCCTATTGTTCAGATCGATAAAAAAAACACTGCGTTTTCTTGCAGCTGTGTGCATACGTCCTCAGGGTGTGCTGCAACAAGGCAGTCCACTAGTTTTGAATAAGCTGCAGCACACATTATTGTGTGGGAATAGAACCCTTTTTTGGCACCACAGTTGTGGTTTGCTGCATTGCTCACTACTGAAGCAGTGAATTGGAAATGAGTGGCAGTGCAACACACTGTAATTCTCATGTTATTTTGTGTTGCAGTAAAATGTGTATTAAACTGTGTTTCTGCGACACATACGTGTAAATAGGCGCTTAGTTATAGATCACCCTAATACAATGTTTAAAGTAGAACTATAGATACAAGATAACATGCACATTATGGAGTTAAATTTACTAAAGACCCACAAAACTTTCTATCGTGATAGCAAAGGACATACATAAGATGCAGACACAGAGGGTGGAATTTATTAAAACTGGGACAGCTGTGCATGGCAAGCAATCAGCTTCTATCTTCAGTTAAGCTTTTTTTTAAAATTTATTACGGGTACTCAATTTACACAGTGCTTTACATATATATTGCACATTCACATCAGTCCCTAACCCTCAAGGGGTGTACAATCTAAGGTGCCTAACTCACATTCATACATACACATACTGGGGCCAATTTTAGATAGTAGCCAATTAACCTACCAGCATGTCTTTGTGTGAGTGTGGGAGGAAACTGGAGTACCTGGAGAAAACCCTCAAAGGCACAGGGAGAACATGCAAACTCCAGGCAGGTGGTGCTGTGGTTGTGATTCGAACTGACGACCTTAGTGTTGCTTTCACACTGGCACAGTGGCGGATCACTTTTTAGAGGGGGGGGCAGAGCAACATTCAGGAGACAATCCTCCTGATTGCATGTCCCCCCCAGCAGAACTGGGGTTTTGTATAGAAACATTGTTCCTTATCTACAAGCCAAATGTTTGTCTCATGGTTATGACACGGGCCCGTTGGCTTTAATGGGCAAGTTTGACAGGTAACAAGTGAGTTAATTTTTGCTGCAGGCACAAAGCAAAGCTTCACGACCATGGCATGTGTACAGTCTCCTCCAACAGGCAAAAGGTTCAGCCGCACACCAGAGGATAGATGAATACAGTGTGTCTATTGATCCATAGGACACACAAAACACCAGGACATGAATACAGGAACTGTTAACGCGTTTCACACGATCTTGTGCTTAATCATGGTTAATCATAATTTGAAATTTTTAAAGGGTAAGTTCACCTTCTAGAACACGGGTGTCAAACTGGCGGCCCTCCAGCTACAAGTCCCAGGAGGCATTGCAAGATTGAGAGTTACAAGCATGACTCCCAAAGGCAGAGGTAAGATGGGACTTGTAGATTCGCAACAGCTGGAGGGCCGCCAGTTTGACACCCCTGTTCTAGAACATGTTACATGTTCCATCCATATTTAGGGTGGAACGTTTCAGCTCCAGCAGCCAGTTCTCTGATCATCCCCTCATTGTGACAGCGGACCGGGAATCCTTTCCAAGGGTTACAATTCAAAAGCAGTTCGGCCATGCAGGGCTCCGCCCACATGGCCATGTGATTCATTCACAGTTTCCTGTGAATGTGTGAACTGTCAGCCATTGCTGAATCTGAATGAAGTCTGAGGTCGCTAATGAGCGCTTTCAAACTTCATTCACAAGCCCTGCAGCTTGTAAACAGTCAGTTTGAATGAAGGTAAAGGCTGAAACCTGCAGGGCTTGTCTGCAGGAGTCTGACATTGCACCGCTAATCCACTGATCACATGAGCAATGCTTTCCAGGCTCCTTAATGAAAAAAGTAATACATGCTATTTTTTTCCTGCAAAAACATGTGCGTTTATTATTTTTTCCCAAAAGGTGAACTTATCCTTTAGCAAATGTGCAATTTTGTTTGCTTTTCCTTTAGTGCCATCCAGTGGCATAAGTGGTGAATAACCCAATGAAATGTAAGACCTTTTTAACCACTTGCCCTTCAGAGGATTTACCCCCCCCCCCCCTTCCTGACCAGGCCACTTTATGCGTTATGGCGCTGCGTCACTTTAACTGGCAATTGTGTAGTCATGCAACGCTGCACCCAAATGAAATTTACGGCCTTTTTTTCCCACGAATAGAGCTTTCTTTTGGTGGTATTTGATCACCTGTACGTTTTTTAATTTTTTGCGCTACAAAAAAAAAAAAAGGCAATTTTGAGAAAAAAAACTATATTTTTTTTACTTTTTGCTATTAAACATATCCAGTAAAAAAAAAATTTAAAAAAATCAAATTTTGTGTAAATTTAGGCCAACATGTATTTTGCTACATGTCTTTGCTAAAAAAAAAATCCCAATACATGTAAATCAATTGGTTTAGGTGAAAGTTATAGCATTTACAAATGGCGGTATATAATCACTGGGATTTTATTTTTGCTAGTAATGGCGGCGATCAGTATAGTGGGACTGTGGTGGGCATTCTGACACTGGAGGCAACTGACTTGGTGTCACTGACATCCCCAGTGACACCAATACAGTGATCAGTGCTAATAAAAAGCATTGACACTGTACTAATGGCACTGAGCAGGAAGGGGTTAATATGTGGGGCACTCAAAGGGTTAACTGTGTACTGTTTTATTTTGTGCAGTATCTGTGTTTTCAACTGTAAGCACACTGCTTTGCATGGCTCTGCATACAAACAGTGCACACTGTGCAGGAGCTGATGTGAGAGAACTGTATTGTTTACATATAGCTCTTTCCCTCTGTTAGTAATGCTCCTCGATCAACAGCCAGGACCCGGTGATTGACAGCCGAGGCTGCGAATAGCGGCTCAGGTAGGACACGCGTCCCCTACCCGGAAATGCAAAATCACATATATATATGCGTCATTTTGTGCACCCATGCCGTACTGTAGCAGTATCGCTGCTAAAGGGCGGACTAGAAGCGGTTAATAAGAAAAAAAAGTTTTAGCAGCATTTAAAGCCAAGGTCCAGGTTTCCTGGTGCTTTAACCACTTCAAGCCCGGACACTTTTACCCCCTTCCTGTCCAGGCCAATTTTCAGCTTTCAGTTCTATCACGCTTTGAATGACAATTGCGCGGTCATGCAACACTATACCCATATGAATTTTTTAGCATTTTTTTTTTAGACAGATAAAACTTTATTTTGATGGTATTTATTCACCACTGGGATTTTTTTTTTTTTTTTGCTATATATAAAAAATTCAAAAATTTTGAAAAAAGTGTTTTTTCCTATACAATTTTGCAAATAAATAATATTTCCTCATAAATCTTGGCCAAAATGTATTCAGTTATCTTTTTAGTAGTAGTTTATGACCAAAAATAATAATTTTTCAATTTTTTTTTTACATTTTTATTTTATTTTTTTTATATTATTATTTGTGTTTTTTGTTTGTTTTTTTACATACTGTCACCCTAGCAGTACAGTGTCACCATAGTGACACTGTACTACTTCTGGGGGGTTATGAAGATTTTTCTTTTTTTTTTTTACACTGATTGTTTTTTACACCCATAAAGCAGGCTGTAAAAGCAATCATTTCTCCTTCTCTCTAGCTGCATTCTTGCAGCCATTGAGAAATACTGTGTGAGCTGTGATTGGTCGCAGCTTGTCACATGGTACAAGGCTGTTGTGAATAGCCTTGTAACATGTGACCTCTGTGATCATTCAAGTGAAGTGACATCTTGCTTACTACTCTGCATGTGATCATTGATTGGCAATCAGTGATCACATGATCGGGACCTCGCACAGAGGTCCTGTACAACGATCGGTGTTCCACTGTGTCTGGAGGACACAGCGGGCACCGGATCGCGGTGCTGCGCGCGCTCCCAGGGAGCGTTTATAAACGCCCACCTGCCCCTGCACTGCTGTCGTTTTTATATACATGGGCCAGGCGGGAAGTGGTTAAATAGTTTGTGCCAAGCTGGCCCAAGCTAATTCCATTACTAAGTGATTGAACCATGCTGTATCGTACTGTAGTATCATCAGCTACATACACTATGGTGAAGCTGTGTTCCTCAGCAGTATGGGTGACTGGATGCTTTAGTCATTCAGGAGAAACCTTGTATTTTTTATCAATAGATACAAGTCTTCCTCTGACTAAGTCACACATACAAAGAATAGGTGCTGCAACCCTCACAGCATGTTTTCCATAACGAGAGTATATATCTTACCGTGCGACTCCTGCGGTTTCCATCCACTGAACCAGTAAAAAACAAATCATATAGAATTGGCAACAAGGTGAAGATGAATTGTAGAAATTTTTTTCAGATGCGGAGTAAAAATTGTTCCAAAATGCAAGCAACACTAATGCGTTTCATTCAAACAAGACCTTACTCATAGTTTCTTCCTCTGATTGGCTGAGGTGGAGAGGTGGGTGGATGCTGTCACAATGTCCACCTCAGTCAATCACGAGGAAGCCTTTGTTTTCATTGATAAAGGCTTCTCCAGAATTCTGTGAAGCATTCAGGCCAACTTGATTTTGTTATGGCAGCAGGAAGGAAGGCACTCATACTGCTGCGGAACACAGCACAGCAATACTGTGTTGATTTACTAAAAACTGTTGAAAGCAAAATCTGATGCAGCTCTACATAGAAACCAATCAGCTTCCAGCTTTTATTATCAAAGCTTAATTGAACAAGATGAAGTTAGAAGCTGATTGGCTACCATGCACAATTGCACCAGATTTTGCACTCTCCAGTTTTAATAAATCAACCCCAGTACTGCATGTAGCTGAGCACACGGGGTTATTTACTAAATCTGCATTGTGCAAAAGCTGGTGCAGCCCTGCATAGAAACCAATCAGCTTCCAGCTTTTATTGTCAAAGCTTAATTGAACAAGATAAAGTTAGAAGCTGATTGGCTACCATGCACAACTGCACCAGATTTTGCACTCTCCAGTTTTAGTAAATCAACCCCAGTACTGCATGTAGCTGAGCACACAGGGGGTTATTTACTAAAGCTGCATTGTGCAAAAGCTGGTGCAGCTCTGCATAGAAACCAATCAGCTTCCATTTTTTTTTGTCAATGCTTAACCCCTTCACGCCTAAGGGTAAAACAAATCTTAAAGCCTAAGCACAATTTTGCAACTTTGATATGTGTTAGCAAAACTACTTTGTGCATCCAGGTGGATTATACCTTGTTTTGTTCAGGACAAATTGGGTTTTCATTTGGTGGTAAATGGTAATGGATATCTCCTGATTTTTTTTTTATTATCAAAGGAAAACTGTCCCAAAATAGTAAAAAAAAAACAAACTTTTTTTTAATTAGTTGAATATTTCTTACTGCTACCATAACCAACCACCAAAGAACAACCCAAAATAATTTCTCCTTTTTGATGATCTCAACAATACCACACGTGTGTATGTTAGTTGTTGTTTGTACCCGTAGTACGGCCCAAAACAATAGTGCGCATTTTGCTTCTTTTTTTTTTTGATCCTGCAACTAACTGCCACTGATGCTAATTTAAAAAAAAAAAAAAAAAAAAATCCTGACCAATAATGCTGCCTTTGACCCAAACACTAACCCTGGCACTAATCTAGATCAAACCTTGATATAGGTATATTTATTTATGTATTTATTTATTTATTTATTTTTATTTATTTATTTTTGTACAAAAAAAAAAATTCTCTCTGAAAGGACAGAGAGATACGATGTATCTCTCTCCTCCATTCAGAGATAGAAAACAAGGGGGTTTGGGCAGGCTTCCCAGTGACTGATCACTATGATATCCAATCAGAGGCTTTCACAGTGATCATGTGACCCGGAATCTGGAGTTCCAGGTTCCGATTGTTAGATACTGACACCCCGGTCTTTGTGCTGGGAGCGCATCCCAGCACAAAGACAGGTATGCAAATTAGTGGCCCCATCGAAAAAAGCCCAGTCCAGTGGGGCCGCTAATATGCACATGCTTGACTCCAAGGGGTTAATTGAATAAGCTAATATTAGAAGCTGATTGGCCACCATCCACAGCTGCACCAGATCCTGAGTGCACCAGCTTTAGTAAATTTCCGCCACAGTATCAAATCACTTATGCCGGCCATAGACGGGTCAAAAATCGGCTGATTTTTCATCCGTTTTTCGTTAGTGGGTTAATTGGGCGGCCGTTTTTCGGGGTGTTTGCACATTTTTTTTATCGGGCATGTTGGAAAATTTGCGGTCGATTTTGACGATCGGCTGATTTTCCCGGCAATGATAGGCAAATCGGCTGATCGTTTTCCCGAAAAAAAATCTGCACATCAGCCGTGACCTGCAAGAAGAAGAAGAAGTAGAAGAAAAAGAAGAAGAATAATAATTCCAGTCCACTATTATATTTTATATGAAAAAGTCTTGCGATTGCAACAAATGTATCCATTTGTATCCGAATAAAAACATCTGTATCCGAAATGGATACAAATGGATACATTTGTTGCAACCGCA